CATCTGAATGATTTATATCTCGTTTTGTCTAAGCATTTATGCTAATAAATTTAATAGATTCCCCAGGACGGCCTGGTTCTTCGTTTTCTTTAGGGGGTCAAAGTGAGAGGAAAATAAAGCAGCACGTTGCTAAAGAAAGAAGGAAGAAGTTGGCCCAAAGGCTTTAGAACACAGAGTTACAACACAAATAAACCCCCTGATTACAGTTATGCTGGAGTAGCAGTCAAAAATAAGTTCCTAGATCTAGACAGATCTCTCTAATTAAGCTATTTCTCAACCAGGGAATCACAAAAGTGACAGAAAATTTAGCAAAGCAATCTACTGGGGAATATTTAGGTCCCACATAATTAAATACAACACTGAGAAAAGCTGACGACTATTAAACGGTGCAGCCAGGAATGGGAAGGGGAACGAGATAAAGCCCGGTCTATAAAACATATTCCATTATCTTTTATAGGTTAAAAAAAATACTTGTAGAAAATTTTCTAAGTTGAAAAGATTTTAAGATTGTGTGAGGATTTTTTTCTTTTTTTACAGGTGCAGAATAAGCGGGTTTTTTTTTTTTTTTCCCCCTCTGTCTGTCTTGGTTTTTCTTTTCCTCATTTTTCCTCTTGTTTGCAAAGTTGAATCTGGGGTCAGGAGTTCTAATTGTAACCTCAGACTGGAATTCCAGATGGTGCGCTCAGGACTGGAAGCAACTCTCAGTTCATCAATTTCATGGGCCTATGTATCTGCTCTGGCCACGGCCGGCCTCCATCCCCACTGTGGCATTAATGCAGAACAAATTGAGACATATCCTCTATGTAATTAGTTCCAGAATTTAAAAAGATTTACGGTATAATAATAGAGGCAGCGCTGCGGAATCTTTTCATTGGGGACCATCCCGCAGTGGCATCAGAACAGACCGGTAACCCTGGCGCCTCCGGACTGGGGGAGAGGGGAAAATTTTGCACCGCTCACCCAGCAGTGCGCACGGCGCTCAAACCTGATCAGAGTTCGAACGCAGATGGGGGAACTGATTACAAAGAAAAATAAAAATTAAAAGATCGAGCTAATTTTTAAAAGAACTGAGGAAGACAGGGAATGGGGTCGTCACAGAAGACCCCTTCTCAGCTTTTCTTTCTTTTGATTTAAAGAAATGAAGCTGGGGTTTCTACGTTTCTACAGTCAGCTCGGAGCTGGGGACCATCCTAAGCGCCTGCCTAGTGGTCTGGGCTGAATAGATTACTGAGACTTGAAGCCGGCGGGGAGGGGAGGAGCAGCGGTCGCAGTCTGTCCTGCTCCGGAAGCTCCTAACGCAGGTCCTCGTGCGAAGCGCTAATCTAGCGCCTGCTTCTCCCGGGTAGGGGGCGGCCGAGCCACTCTACGGCCCAGGCAGGCGACTCCAGCCCTTGACAGCTAGTAGCGCTGAGGCGTGTTTATTCAGTTGTCGGCGGCCTAGGGGTGACACCCGGAGCGCTGCCCGGGCGTGCGCTATGGTCCCTGGGGCCGTGGCCTTAGGCTCCCGTCTCCGCGCAACCTCAGATGCAGCTGACAGCGTGGGGGTGAACGCGCGGGTCTGCGGGTCCAGAGGTCCTCCTTTCCCCCTCCCACCTGACCACGATTTTTTGATCTTGTAATAGTTAAACACCTCTCAAGCGAGGCTGGGCTTTACCAATGTGCCAGAGCCACCTGAGGTTCCCGGTCTCTCTCTCTCTCTCTCTCCTTTTTTTGGACCCACCCCATCAGCTCCTGCTGAAGGTCGGGAGACCTGGGTTTCGGCTCGGTCTTGCCACGAACTTACTTGCTCGTGACCTTGAACAGTAATATCAACACATTTTGTAACATACATTGAGCGCATAGACCAACACTATCTTTCTGTCATGACCATTCCAAGGTGTGTGTGTGTGGGGGGGGGACGGTAAACATTCCATATTCCATTTGACCAACAAGGAAACTGAGCCTCAGAGAAACTAAGGAACTTGACTAGGGTTACCTAGCCGTTGGTTACTTGCTGGGGCCAAGAGTTCACTTTTTATTTTTATTTTTTCGCGGGAGTGGGGAGACAACAATCTCTTGTTTTTATTCACTGCGCTCCACAGCTCGCCTTTCCTCTCTCGTCTGGGCCTCAGTTTCCTTCTCTGTGGAATTAGGTGTTGAATCTCTAGCTCTGAGAATCAGCGATTCAGACCGAGATCCTCTGCAACACATCTCAGCGCTGACGAGGGTGGGAAGGTCGTTGCGAGAAAGCGGCGGCTTGTCTACACAGCTCTCAATTCGCGGGGACCTCCGGCGGGCCTCTAGCTGCGGGAGCGCGCCAGGCTGTTGGAGCAGGCCCAAGGTGCGACAATCCTAGTGGCAGGGCTAATACGCCACCCAGCTCAGGGTGGCGGGAGGGTCCTCCTAGGTAAACGCTGGGCGCTCGTAGACAACCTCACCAGGGAAGGGAGCACGACTCCGGGGCGTGAGGCGTCTGTGACCGCAGACGTGTGCCGGTGTCCCAGCTCTGGCCTAAGGGCGCCTGGGCCCACCTGCAGGCGGATAGAGGACTTCCTGAGATCTCGTCTGGGTTCCCGGGGCCGTCCGACCGCGGGGGACTAGCAGCACTTACCTCTCGGCCTCTTGGGCTGTGGGGGGAACTCTTCCCACCTGTCAACTGTGTGAGAGGGATCGAGGGGGACCCCTGGGTTGAAGTGGAGATCGCACCACTTCTTTCCTCCCCCAACCCCCCATGGCATCTCAGGAAACAATTGCTTAAGAGCCTCGCCCCAAATTTGCCTGGCTCCCCTTTCCTCCCGCCTGAACCCCGGACAAAAACTTTTTTTAAAACTTAAAAACACAGAAATTCACCTTCAAGCCCTCTTCCAAACACATTCCCCACAAAACTTGCAAAAGAAAGTAAAATAGGAACAATCTCGATCTTCCGTTCGGAAACGGAAATCTAAACTGTCCGTTCAAAGGGCCCCCGATTACTGATTCCTTCGTTGCGCCTGAATCCCAGTTAAGAAAAACGACTTCGAAGTTGAAATACAAGTGTGTGGGTGGACGCAGAGGTGCGGATTTGGGGTGCTCTAGGGGCAACTTGGCACGGGTAAGTTTTGTGTTGTGGAACCTTTCTCCATCCCAAAACCTTTCTCCCTCCAGCCCTGCTGCAGGTTAGAGATGGGGCGTGGGGGAGAGAAGTAGCGTGCGGAGTGTAAAGGGAAAGGAGCCGATCTCAAGAGCTTTATTATTATTATTATTTATTACAAAAAGCTTCTACGTGGAAACGCGGCAAAATCAAGCAACGAAAGTATCGCGAAGATATGTTCAGGACTGCAAAGGTGGCGGGCGAGACAGAGGGTAGGTAGCACGTGTTCCCACACTTGGCCATCAGGGTTTCCTGCGCCTCCTGGACCCACCACCCCAAATTGGCTGGTACTGAGTGCAGCCCCTACTTCCTGAACCCGCGCAAGCTTCGGGTCTGCAGCCCCAATTCTCGGAGACTCCGTTGACTCAGTGCAAACGAACTAAAACCGCGGCTTTAGTACTGGAGTAGGCGAAGGCTTTTAAAGCACTCGGTGTCTTAGTAAAATTGCAACTATCCTAATTGTTGCTTTACAGGAACTTCACTGGAAAGTCCAGGACCCAGTCGCGGGCCAGTCTGGTGCAGGAGGCCTCGGGTGGCCGGCCGCTTCCCGCCCTGCGCGCCTCGTGGTTCCACTCTGCGCGGTTGCGGCTGCTCCCTGATGCTGCTGGCCGTTTGTACGCATCTCTGAAACGCATTCCACTCCTCGGTCCGGGCTCTTCTCCTTCTCTTATGATCTGTTTCTCTAAATCCCGTTAGATCCTGACTGCTTTGGAATAAACAAATAGCCAAACAAAACAAAACCGTGCTCCAGAGCTCTGGGCCCCCGAAGAGAGACTAGGTGGCGGGAGGAAGCGGATCTAGTGAAACCACGCACCCGACTCGGACTGCGGGCGGGTGGAGGCTCTCCCTGCCCTGCCCGCTCCCCAGCGCGCTGCGCCTCCTGGCCAGCCGCTCGGCATCCTGAAAGGTACCCGGACCGCGAGCTGAATCAGAGCCCTGCGGGAGTAGCAGCCAGCGCCGTCCTCTCCCCGCCGGCTTCCCATCTAGCACACCCCCACCCCCACCCCCGGCGCTCCAACGGGACTCCAGGGATCTCCCGCCGGAATAGAAGCCAGCTCCGAGCATTCGCCAAGAGTCTGCTTCCCTCCCGAACCAGCTGGGGTTTCCCCGGCTTCACAGTGGAATTCGAGATTCCCTACTAGAAAGGACGATGAAGTCCCGCTGATACTGATTTTAAATAGATGGCAATCTCCCTCCTTTGGACGCAAAACTTCACCAAGTAACCAAACACCAGGCAATCGAAACGCCCCGTTTCTCCCAACTGATGCCACCTCTCGCAGTCACTCGGCCTGGGCACGTTCGCCTCGAGCCCCAGGCTTCCTAAACCCACAAGGGACCGCCCCCCTTCACTGGCCCCGAGATTATGGCCACCACTCCAAGCTTTCGGCTCTGGGATCGAAAGCAAGGGCCGATTTAGCGACGCAGACCAAGACTATGCTCTTCTTCTAAGTGCTGGAAAGTTCTCTGCGCATTCTCGAAGTTCCCGCCCTCGCCGAGCCCACCTACTCCTCCCCCTAACCCGCCCTCTCAGATGAACACCCCCCAAACCACCCCAACGCACCCGCGTACAGAGGGACACTCACTGCTCACCTGGAGGGACCCTCAGTGCCTCGAGGCGCTCGCGCTCTCGAAGTCCAAAAAGGAAGGGGGGGGACTGCGCCCCACAGGCCAGCCGAGTGCGAGTGGCGGGCAAGAAAGGAGGATCGCTCGGAGAGAGACAATGTCTCAGGCCCGCCCCCATCTCCTCAGCTAGGGCGCCCCCCATGGAGCAGCGCGCCGCGGGTCCGGCTCGGGCTGCGGTGTGAATGAGCGGCCGAGCCTCCTGGCTCCTCCTCCTCCCCCGCCGCCGGCCCCTCTTATTTGAGCCTGGGGAAGCCGGGGGCAGCTAGGCAGCTGGGGTAAGGAGTTCAAGGCAGCGCCCACACCCGGGGGCTCTCCGCACCCAGACCTTCTGCCTGCTCCTCCCTTCCTCTTCCCGCCCTCCCTCCCACTCTCCCACCCACCCAGACGGAGCTAGGACGGCTGCCCAGAACCGGGGGCCCGCCGCCTCCTCGCCGCGATCCTGGACTTCCTCCTGCCCCAGGAGCCGACTTCCACGTGTACTCTGGAGTCGGCCTCTCCGCTCGCGCTCCGCCCTGGGCCTGGGTGCTTTCACCAGCAGGAGCAGCCGGTGGTCCGGGCTCCCGGAAGCATCTGGGCCAGGTTAGGCGCAGCCGAGTCGAGCGCCGCGCTTCTACAGGGTCGAAGAAGCCGCGGGGCGGCCGGGGCTGAGCCGCAGCAGATGGGCTCCGACGTGCGGGACCTGAACGCGCTGCTACCAGCCGTCCCGTCGCTGGGCGGCGGCGGCGGCTGCGCCCTGCCTGTGAGCGGCGCAGCGCAGTGGGCGCCGGTGTTGGACTTCGCGCCCCCGGGCGCCTCGGCTTATGGTTCGCTGGGCGGTCCCGCGCCGCCACCGGCTCCGCCGCCGCCCCCGCCGCCGCCGCCGCCTCATTCCTTCATCAAACAGGAGCCGAGCTGGGGCGGCGCCGAGCCGCACGAGGAGCAGTGCCTGAGCGCCTTCACGGTACACTTCTCCGGCCAGTTCACCGGCACCGCCGGAGCCTGCCGCTACGGACCTTTCGGTCCTCCTCCGCCCAGCCAGGCGTCCTCCGGCCAGGCCAGGATGTTCCCTAATGCGCCATACCTGCCCAGTTGCCTGGAGAGCCAGCCCGCTATTCGCAACCAGGGTAAGCCGGCCAGGGAGCGCCCCCTGCTAGCGGGGTGGTGGCGCCGGGGCTCTCGGTGCGCGCAGGCTCTCCTCTCTCCTGCCCTTTCCCCGACCCCGGCTTTTACTCAGCCGCTTCCTCCAAGTCGCGAGGGCGGCGGAGGCGACGGCCGGCCGGGGAGAAGAGGGGAGGCCCGGGAGAAGGAGCAACGGCCAGTTTCGGACTCTTTCCACGGCAGGGTCGGTGCCGGACTGTTCGTTTGAGCCGGGAGCCCATCTGGGGTTTTTCTGTTCTTGGGAGATTGAGTCCCCACGGGGGAGCCGGTGTGGTCTCCTGCTCCGCCTCAGGAAGAGGTTTTACCACTTGAGACACAACCACATCGTGCCCAGGCGTTGGGCTTTAGGCGTCTAGACTGGATTCCGAGTGGGAACAGCGCGTGATGCGCAGCCTTTCCTGCCTCCGCCGCGCTGAGACGTTCAGGAGTGCCCCCAGCCGCTAACATGGTGTTGGCACACACTAGGTGCCCAATAAGTAGCTTGGGGAGCAATGAGTAAACGGAACAGTCCAGGTAGTAAGTAGTTCTCTTGTGCTTTTCGGGTTATGGCTCCCGCGTAAGGCGGTGTAGAAGCGGATCTTTTCCCTGTTCCAGCTCAGAAGGTGGGGCGCGGAGGCCACGCGGTTTCCAGCAATGGAGGACAACCTGGCTTGTCCGATTCCGTGCTAAGCGAAATCGGTTCCACTCAAGGTAGTGGGGCTGAAGCCGGAGCATTGGGCTTCCAGCGCTCCGCCAGCACCTCATCTCCTCATAGACGCGGGGGGCCCAAAACCCGAGAATGAGAACGAAGACAATTTATTTGTGGTCTGCAGTCCATGTACACTGAGGGACCCGGCCCGGTGTTTTTTCATCGGCGCGGGCGCCCGCACAACCCCTTCCCCCTGGGCGGTCTACCAAGCACCGGTGCGGAGCCCGTGTATTTCAGTCTGTGAGTTAATCCTAATTAGATTTCTGCGCGGTTGAGAACCTAAAGCAGTTCGATTTGACTCGCTCTTAGGACACAGTTTGTTCAGGCAGTGGCGGGCACTTTTCTTGGAAGTTTCTGCAACGCGTGGAGTGGAGGGATTGACTGTGTATGAACTGTAGAACATGCGGTGCACCAGAGGCGCGGGAGAAGCCTGGAAGTTGGGTCCCCTTTGGACGTCTATGCTGGAGAATCAGAAATCGGCTTTTTCTGGTTTAACGTTCTCTAAACACGGAACTAACCGACAAGGTGACTGGGCCAGCAACAGCGCGACTGGTCGACAGGTGTGTGATGAGAGCCTGTGTGTGGATGTGTGCTATTTGGAGGCATAAGAAACTATTTGAGGCGATCTGGTGGTGTGGTGGTTAAAACCTTCCGCTGCTAACCAGAAGGTGAGCGGTTCAAACTCACCAGCCGCTCTGTGGAAGACAGATGAGACCGTCTGTTTTCATAAAGAGTTGTTGTTATGTACCGTGGCGTTGGCCCTGACTCATAGCAACCCCTCCTTGGGTTTCTGAGACAGTATCACGATAGAAGTAGGATTGCCCAACCTTCCTTCCGTTGAGTGGCTGGTGGGTTTGAACTGCCAGCCTTCTGGTTAGCAGTCAAGTGCCTTAGGTACTATGCTACCAAAGCCCTCGAAACCTTGTGGAGGTAGTTCTACTTACTATAAAGTTACTCTAAGTTGGAATTGACTTGACCGCTGTGGGTTTGGTTTAAGAAGCTATTTGGTTTAAGCCCCTGGGGCTCAGTAATTACTATGCAATTATTACCTTTTAATTCCATCTAGGTTACATGTGTTTTTTGGAACCTGAGCTCGGTTGCTTCGGTTTGAACTCCTGTGTCCAGCTTTTTGAAGGGCGGGAAGATCTGGTGCCCAAGATGCTAACAATTCGGTTTTGGGCCCAGGGCTGTGGGCTTCACAACCAGGGGCACCACATTAGAAGGTGGGGTGGGGTGGGAAGCCGGATTCTTTTTTAGTAGACAGACTTTGATTAACACAGGTAAAAAGGGGCTTGGGAGCTGTTCCTCAGAATAGCAGGTGAATAAGCTGCTTCTAACCGTCCTCGCCTCCACTGGGGAGAAACACCATACTGAGAGCTGGCTCCAGACAGACTCGGATCACAACCTGCAGGTCAGAGTTTCTGTCTGTGGCCTTTGGTTTTGTCCCACAGTAACAAGGTAGGTAGATGGAGCATGCCCAGCTCTTTGGGCGACTGAGCAGATGAGAGCAGAAGTGGAAAGTGAGAAGCTGTTTTAGCAAGATTCCAGATTTATTCTATGGATCTCTGGGGTTCTTCAGTCAGAGCACGTCTGAGGCTTGGGCTGTAGAAGGCAAGGGCCTGAGTCCCCTTCTGAAGTGTGGGAATGACCATCAGAGCCCCCAGGCTGAACTCCAGGGAAGAGGATGGAGCTGTCTTTGGATTCCTGTCCCCAGGCAGGGTGGCCTACTGCTGGCTCATAGGCCAGAGTTCCGCCTTCTCTCTTTAAGGGTTTTTCGAGTATGTTCAACTTGTTTTTTGTTTCCTAAATTTTATAGCTGGCTTTTTAACTTTACCACTAAACATTAATTTTTCAAACGTTTATTGAGCGCCTTGTTGTGTGCCAGGCAATGGAGATTGAGTATTTATTAATACACCTTTAGAGTTTACAAGAAGCACCAGCCAGACCCTGGAGGGTCTCCATATTTTTGGATGAAGAAATGGAGGCTCTAAACATTAGGTACACAGCAGGTCTCTCACTCTGTGGCAGAGCTGGGATTTGAGGCCAAACCATTCTAGGCTTTCTATTTGTACCTACTTCTCAGGGATCTTGACCCCACTTTAGAAATGAATTTCCTCTGCCCCACTGGCTGGACGCTGAACCAACTCTAGTATGCTGAAGGTTGGAGGGTTTAAGGCAGAAGTGGGGGGAGGACCTGGGCAGCCCCGCTGGCTGCAGGACTAGGCCTTGGGATCGCCACGCTCACCCTAGGGTCATATGGGAAGACCAGCTCAGCGCAGTCACACAGGCGTGGGTATTTCGTTGAGGGACAGATTTCCCCGACCCCGCTGCAGCTGCCCAGTTACCGTTTTAAACAATCATTTTCTTTTCCTCTAAGCACCTTCCAGGCTGAGCCTGTCGCCCCACCCCTTAGCTCTCCGGGGCCTGTTCGGGACAGGCGGTTTCCGGGCGCCTTCGCAGCTGCGGGAGGGAGAGGGAGGCGCGAAGTGGGTTCTTGCCTTTCGGCGCGGTCAAGGTTGCGCTCCCCTCCCAGGCCAAGACAAACCGTGGGAAAGGCGCTACCTTGGCCGCTGGAGCCTCTCTCTCCAAGGCTTGTACAAGAGGCCTTTGAACACGCTTCCCGCAGGCAGCTGGCCCTCCCCCAGCCGCAGCCCCCTTCCCCCCATCTCTAGGTGCCAAGCCCCGCGCGGGGCCCGGGGACAGCGCGTTCCAGTCAGTCCCGTGCGGGCGATAAGCTCCTAATTAAAAGAGCTCAACCTCCCCTCCGAAGGCTCCTTCGCCACTGTTTGTCCTGGGGAGGTTTCGAGGCCGGCCCCTGCCCGTCGGGGTCTGCGTGTCCTATCTGGGAGGGGTCTTGGGATCCTTCGCTGGGCATCGGCAGCCTTGGGCCCTAGTTCTGGGGCGCGGAGGCGAAGTGGCCCACGAGGGAGCTGCATCCAGAACCAGTGCTCTTGCCGCGCGTTGACAGTTGCGGAGTCGGTCTTGGAGGACCGCGAGGTGCCTGGGCCACTGCCTGCGCATCTGCTCAGGAATGGAGAAGGGTTTGTTCAGATACACTTTCTGTGTTGTTTCTAATTTACCTTTCCCTAAGTTTGAAAAACATCTGTTCAGAAATTTAGCTTTCCTTCTGGGCAATACTAGGTGACCGAATGCAAATTTCGTTAGCAAGCCGATGGGTAGGCCTCAAACAGGGCCAGGCCTCTGTTCACCAAAGGAAGTCGGTCAATCACGCCTACGAGCTAACTGGGCAGGCAATCACGCCTGAGAGTTAACCCAGCGGGAGTTATTCTTGCCCACTTAGCAAGCAAGAAATGGAGTATCTTTGGGTTCTTGCAGATTAAACGTGGTGGCTTTCTAAATCGTCTACTAGTGGTTCAGGAGACCTGGGCTGCTCTGGGCCGGTACTTACGACCTACAGCCCCCCACCCCATCCCCCACTCTGACACGCCACTCTCTGGGCGGTGCCCCCATAGCCCTGGAGCGGTAATGCAAGCTCTGGATGTTTGTGATTTTGTTGCGCGTGTGTGTGAATAGCCTCCTTTGTCCTCCGTCCGGCAACGCTTGTTGCAGAGCCTTGATCGTGCCTGGAGGAAGAGTGAAGGCTGGTTGCCCTCTCCTGAGAATCAAGTGGGGCTTGGGGACTCCATGCGGTCGCTGGCCCAGAGAAGCTGGGGCTAGTACGGTGGTGTGGCCAAGGGCACAGCATGCTGGTGTCAGCGTCGGCCACTCTCCTACCCACTTGGCCTGGACCTCAAACCATAGACTGTGGAGCTTGCATGTGGCTAGAGGGAACACGTTCACTTTGGGGTTCAGGGGCTCCGGGACTAAATCCTGTTTTAACTCAAGAATGCTTTTCCCGAAAAGGTAGCTAGCAGTTTTCTAGAAGCTGACCATATATTCAAAGCACCCTAATAACAGGAGAATCCCTCTTTAAACACCACATTTATTTTCTCTCCTTCAGAGAGATGAGAAAGAACACCGCAGGGAAACTGAGGCAGAGGGCCTGCACACTGCCATGGCCAAAACACTCTGAAAGAAACCGGTTTTCCGGGCTGGGGCGGGGTGGAAGGTTGCCAGCGTATCCATAGTGGTCTGAGTCGGCTCATCTGGGCGCCAAGTGTGCCCGAGACAGCAGGGTGCAGGGTCGAAGGCCCGCGGACCAAGCGAAAGGGCCCCTTACCAGCTCTCCAGAGGGTCTCGAGGGTAGTGGTGTCGGGGCGCGCAGCCCGAGACAGATAACATTACTCTGTAATTACTCTTTCCTATTGAAAGCCCAAGCCGTTTAACGGGCCTTGGGTAATTAATGAAGGTTGGTGCGCAGGCCCCTGATTTACTGCGCGAAGTCAGCGCGGGGTCAGCGGAGCAGATTCATCCGGCGATGCCCGGGCGCGAGAGCCGTGGTGATTGTTTTTTGGGAGAACAACTTTCTCTGCCTGGCAGGCGACGGTTTCTGTATTTGCCGTGGAGTCTGTTTAGAAACGATAGTCACCTTGGAAGACAACGATGCCAATAAATTGAGAAGTGGCCAGGAAGTAAGGGTAAAATTGTGTCCTAAGGTCACACGCTGGGGTTAGGGCCGGGCTTCCCGCCGAAAGTCCGAGAGGCTGGGGCCAGGCTACCCTGAGTCAGGGGATCCGAATTCTGGGTTGAAGTAGGGACGAGGGCACGCTCCTGCCCGGGTTTTGGTTCAGCCTAGCCGCCCGGGTCTCCCCGAAAACCCACTGACACTGTGCTTCTCCCCGTCGCGCCCGCAGGCTACAGCACGGTCACCTTCGACGGGACGCCCAGCTATGGCCACACGCCCTCGCACCACGCGGCGCAATTCCCCAACCACTCCTTCAAGCACGAGGACCCCATGGGCCAGCAGGGCTCGCTGGGTAAGGGCTGGGAAATATCTAGGGGTCCCCCTTCCCTTTCTCCGCGCGGCCCCCTCAGGAATTTGCAGCACACAGCGGAAGAGCTCATCTAAAGGGCCTTTAGAAATACTTAGCTTAATTCCACTTCATTTAAAAGATAGGACTCAGCCTCTCATCCCGAGTTTGTGCGGGAGTCACGCCACCAAATCTCCCAGTGCCCAGTCCTGAGGGCCTTCTAGTGGCACCACGCGGTGATCGGTAAGGGAGTGTGAGGTGAGAACACCTTAGCTAATCAAGGTCTGGACGCTGTTGCTCTGCCCGTCCGGGGATCCAGGCCTTAGTGCTCCCAGCTAAGCCGAGGGGCCCAGGCCAGGATGAGGATTCTGCGGCCTCCCGCCCTGGGGTCTCTCGGGCGCGCTCACCCTGCCTTCTTGGGCTCTCTCTGCAGGCGAGCAGCAGTACTCCGTGCCGCCCCCAGTCTACGGCTGCCACACCCCCACCGACAGCTGCACGGGCAGCCAGGCCTTGCTGCTGAGGACGCCCTACAGCAGGTAGGGCACCGGGTCCCGCTTCCCCCACCCGGGAAGGGGCGCGAGAACAGGGGCTGCGGGTGGCACACGCGCCTTTCGCCCCCAGCTCGATGGAGCAAATTAAGTATCAGGCCTCCGCTCTGGTGGGAAGGGAGCGTTTCCAGGTCTTCTGGTAGTTCTCATTTTGTACATAATGTTGGCGATTAGTGTTCCGAGCTGAAGCAGGAACGGCGCTTTGAGAAATAATTATTTTTTTTAAGGATACTTTTCTGGGGGGTTAGAGCCGCCTTCCGACCGAAGACTAAACGTGGAGCCCCGCCCACCAGGTCTCCTGGCTCCTCACACCCTTGATCGCCTGCTGGCCAGACTCTCCCGGACTACTTCGGGGGCGCGTCCTCTCCTGTCGCGTCTGTTCTCGGGAGTCCCCAGTCGTGCTTGCGCTTAGTGGGTCTCGTTCCCAGCGCCCCGGTGCGAGGAGTTGGTCACAGGGGGCAGACTGCGCCAGCCGATGCGGGGCCTGCCTTGAGTTTCCGGCAGCCGGAAGATCAGCTTCTTTTTCCTCCAAGAGATTTTCCCGTCCCTTCTAACTTTTCTCGGCTGTAGCGCCCCCTCTACTTTCTCTCCCCAAATTTATTCTTCAACTTTGGGTGAACTTGGCCAGCGTCCCGCGCCTCTGATAGGGTTGCCTAGTAACTGCTGCACACACCGGCCCGCGCCGGGCGGGAAGGTGGGGCGGGGAGAGGGAAGTGGCGGCGCGCGACCTTTCCCGCCCCCATTGGGCGCGCATTACCTCATTGTCAACCCTCCCCCCCGGGGTGCCGCGGGGATCCTGATACCGACGGCCCCAAACCTATCCCTATTCCTCCGCCCCTCCGCACGGAGACCTGGGGCTGACGTCAAGGGAAGGAGGCAGTGAGGTAATGAAGGAAGGAAAAGCGCCTGCCCTGGGAGATTGGGTGGGAGAATGGCTGCGTCTGGGGATCTCCCGTGCCGCAGGTGGAGGATGGGCGGCAGACTTCGTAGGGATCCGTCCCAGTGTCCCTGCTGGGTTTATGAGATTGAGCCTCCTGTGGGGCCCTCTCGTTCCGGGGAACTCCTCCAGAGGTACAGGGCCGGATGTCCTCGACTTGTGTGCGCCTAGGGCCTTTCCTTTTGTCCTGAAAATCTGGCAAATCTAATGGAATCTCTGTTCTCTGAATTTCTTTTCCGTCTAAGATTGGGACATTTCCCGAAAGATTAATTTCGATTTTGTTTGCCTTGTTGCATCTGACCCCGAGTCTGCCTGCCTAGATCCAACCCCTTCCCCCAAAACTTCTCTCTCCAGTCTTGAGGATCTAGTCTCCGTTCCCAGCCCAAAGTGAAGATAATGGAATACATACATGTATGTGTATGTTCTATGTATATACGTAGGTATGTGTGTGTGTATGTATGTGTGTGTGTGTGTGTATATATATATTCACATACATGGCTATTAAAGGTGCCTCAAGTCCATTTTTGACTCATAGTGACTCAGTGTAATAGAGTAGAACTACTCTCTAGGACTTTCTATGGTGTCACCCTTACAGGAGCAGATAGCCAGGTCTTTTCTCCTGCAGAGCTACTGGGTAGGTCCCAACCAACCTTTGATCAACAGTAGGATATTTAACCATTGTGCCAACATTGTGTCATCAGTGCTTCTTAATGGTACATATGCCAACATTGAGTGACCAGGTACAATGAAAGTGAACAGTGTTCACTATTTGAGGAAATTCTCAAAATCTAGTTCTCTCCTTGTTCCCTGAACAATTCTCTCAGGTTACAGAACTGAGAAGTTGGCAGCTGCACACATTGTGTGTGGTGGGACCAGCAGTGAATAGAATATATCTTACGGGAAGTGACAGGACACGGTCCCCCATCTTCCCTGCCCATCACACTTTGTGGGCAGAATCGTGTCCAAAGGAGGAATCGTAGCTGGATGAAAGCATGCATCTCTTTAGCCCTAAGATTTATTGCATTCTCACCATGTGTTCCTGGGCACTGTACTAAATTCTTCACTTGTCTAATTTAATCCACACTAGTTGATGAGGAAGGTGCTATAATGTAATCTCTACCAATGAGGAAACAGGTTCAGAAACTTGCTCTCTCTCTTTCTCCCTCTTTCTCTTTCTCTCTACTCTCTCTCTCTCTCACTCACACTCACACACACACACACACACAACACACAAAATATCTGTTACCATCAGTAGATTGCAAACTCATAGTGACCTTGTACGATAGAGTGGAACAGGATTTCCAAGGCTGTAAATCTTTACAGAAGCAAACTGCCTCATTTTCCTCCTGGAACAGTTGGTGTGTTCAAAGCACCAACCTTTGGGTTGACAGCTTAGTGCTTTAACTACCATACCACCAGAGCTCCTGATACCACACAGCAAGTTACACTTAGAGCCAGGATTTGATCTTCTGTGTGTCTGATGTCAAAGCCCTTCTCTCCTCTGAACCACTGAGGGATTCCTGGCCACTTCAGTGTTCACTGCTTGGATTATACCTTTTATAAAGTTCCTGCGTCCCTGCTGGCATATATATTGATAAATATCATCAACTTACTATATGAAGGCACCTGGTGGTGCGATGGTAAGTGAGTGGCCACTAACCAAAAGGTTGGTGGGTCAAACCCATGCAGTAGCACCACGGGAGAAAGAACAGGCAACCTGTTTCCTTGAAAATCACTGCCCTAGAAAACCCTGTGAGGCAATTCTAGTCTGTCACGTGGGCTTGCTATGAGTTGAAATAGACTCGGTGGCACCCATAAACAACAGGCACCATTCTAAGTATTTTATAAGTACTGGTGGCATAGTGCCTAAGGCATTTGGCTGCTAACCAGAAGGCTGGTGGTTCAAACCCACCGGCCACTCCTCAGAAGGAAGATGGGGGCAGTCTACTTCTGTAGTGATACCACCTCAGAAACCCAAGGAGGGGTCACTATGAGTCGGATCCGACTGGATGGCAGTAAGTTTCGCTTTTTTTTGTTTGGTTTCCCCAGCTGTCTGAAAGTACAGTGTCCCTATAAAAGCTTTTATAAGCTGAAATGGTGTAAAGTGAGGAACAATTACTGCTAATTTACACGGAAAATTCTTTGGGCGTTCCCAGCCCCAAAAATGAACCTACCAAATCATACCAGATAACACATAAAATATAAAATAACAGTAACACGTCGTGTTCACAGATGAAGTTCAAAGCTATGACGGCTGATGCTGCAATGCTTATTGCAGTTCTGGGAAAGAAGCTTGGTGATGCTACTCTGACTTCTCAGGGTGAGGCTGCCTCAACAGCTTGCTGCAACCAAACACAAAATGCTAGCTTAGCTTTTCACCATTTTCCATAAAAGCGGAAATGCTCTTTGTGTTTGTTTTGGTTAGCGAAAACAGGCACTAAGGTAGATTTTTTGTAAAAGCCAAGTGGCGTGAAGCGAACTTTCGAGAAATGGGGAATATTTGTATTGGCTCCTTTAATCATTCTTTGAGAGAGGCAGTGTCTCATCACTTGTTCTACAGAGAGGGTAATGAGGCCCGAGAGGTTAATTTGTCCTCTGTGACACGGCAAAAGGCAGAGCTGGTGTTCAAACCAGCTCTTGAGCTTTTAGAATTCGTCCCCCTGCGCGTTGTACTCTGCCACCTCTTCTGACGTCATTCTCTTTCCCAAGGAGCATCTGTTCCAGGTCTTACTAGACAGAGGCCTTTATTTCCCACAGTTGTGAAAGAAGCCAATTAACTACTGGTTTTAATCATAGCTTTCAGTAGATAGCCCTTAGTGGTTTGGAGGACAGCCTTTTCGCTGGGGGACATTGTTGGGAGCAGGCTTGAGCTTTCTGCTTGAAGTCCTAGCTCACAAAGCAGCCATCTGTCTTTCAAACCCCAGGCTCTCAGCCTCACCTTTACCACTGAAGTGAAGTTCAGTGCAGGCAACTAAAGAGTCCCAGGTCAGAGAGAACTAATTTTCCTTTCATTTAGACCAGGAGAAACAACGGCTGGCTTTCAGGCCACGCTGGTTGGTTCTTGCTTCAAGGCTCCAGGAAACAGTGGGTGGACACCATGCTATGCTATGGAAAGAGGGTAGCAAAGTCAGATCACCAAACACTCTCTTACCCATTTCTATGTAGGAAAGGCAGCTAGCAGGACCTTCCCTACTCTTTTTGAACCCTCTTCTATAATCCTCATCTGCCTCCTGCTTGCTGACCTCCTTGTTGTTGTTATGTGCTGTTGAGTTGGACCCGACTCATAGGGGACCCCTCCTTGGATTTCCGAGGCAGTATCACTACGGAAGTAGATTGCCCCATCTTCCTTCCGAGGAGTGGCTGATGGGTTTGAACCACCAGCCTTCCAGTTAGTAGTAGCCTTAGGCACTATGCTACCAGAGCTCCCACTGATCTCCTTAGAGCCCCCAAATCCCTGACTATGCCCATTTCATAGATTCATCCTCACAGCTCGTTTGAAAAGGACACTATATTTGAAAAATATACCCCCATACACTGATTTTTAAAGACAGTCTAGTCTTTTAAGCCAAAAAACCCCCAAACTCACTGCTATATAGTCGATTCAACTCATAGCTAACCCTCCTTGGGTTTCCAAGGCAGTATCTAGTAGATTGCTCAACCTTCCTTCCAAGGAGTGCCTAGTGGGTTTGAACCGCCAGCCTTCTGGTTAGCAGTCAAATGCCTTAGGCTCTAGACCACCAGTCTTTACTCCTTTTTTGTTCTTTTGTTAAGTTTTGCATGTCCTTCTTCAATAACTGTTACCAATTCTAATGAGGGTATGTCATCTTGGTTTAGTGGTAGAATTCTCACCTTCAATGTGAGAGACCCAGGTTTGATTCCTGGCCAGTGCCCCTCAAGCTCAGCCACCATCCGAATGTCTGTCACTGGAGGCTTGCATGTTATGATGCAGCACAGGTTTCAGTGGAGCTTCCGGACCAAGACGGAATAATCCCATTATGCATGCATCGCCACGAGTCTGGCTGACTCTCCGGCAGCTAACAACTTCTGCCTG